GGAGTCCTCTAATGACGGACGTGTGCTAGTGGCCGAGGGGAAATGGTGATGTAAGTGGAAGCGTAGATAACGTACCGGAATGGGTTATTACTTGCGCCGGACTCCGGGGAGAGCCATCCTTGGTGTATGCCGGCGCGACCACTTCTTCAATCGTTTGCTGCACACGTTGCTCAACTATGTCCTCGCTAGGACCCGCGCCAGGCTCAGCGCGAGTTACGCTCAAATTCAGAATGTGACCGCCGGTACCTTTGTATAGATTGGGTAGACATGCCCGCTCGATATCTGTCCTCAACTGGTTGCTGACTTTGGTGGATGAGAAGTACACGTAGAGGCTCCTTCACTTCCGGCAGCCAACGCCCGGTGGCTTTGTTTGCCATGGCTGAAGAGGATGGAGCGGTGTCTGGAATGGGAGGCTGCAAACCCGACCTCGCCGACCAAGAGGAGGCCTTGGCGTCGTACAGGGTCAAAGCCGTTTCTCTTGGTCTCTTTCTCTCATCTTTGCAATGGTTATTAGTCTGAAGACGACGCATATGGCACGTACATGGTGACGGTGGCATCCGAATCTGAGTGAGCTTGGTTTAAACCTTGGAGAGGTGATTTATGGTTTGGAAAAGTTCTGAGCCACCCCTGGCCGTATGACAACCTTCCAGACTGCAACCCATTCGTTATCCTTTGGGTATCATCTTTTACGGAATGAGCTTCCTTCATCCCAGGTATGGCACGTTCACTCCACAGTTTGGGACGCTTTCCCATTTTGAGTTTATCAGAAGCAGCCAAGATGGTCAGGCCGCTCCTTGGCGTGTGGACCAGAGTTTCTTTTGTACCTCGCCAAGGTCCTGGAAATCTACCAATAAAAATCCTCAGTTTCAGGGCAGTTGAGCGCTGGAATGAGAATTTCAGAACGACAATCACATTGGCCTAGCCCACCCAAAAGTCACTCGCCCTCTGGGATAATTGCTCGACAGAGAACCCACCGCTTATCCAGCTGGTCAATTCGCTTCCCACGCTGAAGCCAATGCTTATGGAGACAACAGTCAATTGGGTCCTGGACAAGTGGTCAGCCAAACTGTGTTGGGCGGAGAAGAAGAAGAAGGAAGCTTACACTGAGCTGGATATGCATGGGTGTCTGATGAGGGTCTCCATCGCCCTCCAATTTCGTGTTTGAGGACCAGATGGAACACGGGTTGTACTGGCGTTGGGTGATGGTGTCGTTCATGTTCGTAAAGGTATTGCTGCCAGCGATCATCTTCGCGGCTATGTTCATCTCGCGCAGAGTCTCGACATATGGCGTCACCTTGTGGTTTCCCTCAGCGGCTCGCATGACTTTTGTGAGCTTCAAGGCACCGTTGGGGAAGCAATCCTGCATCGCCAGACGACCGGCTTTGCTCAACCCCAACAATCTCGCCCAAAATGGGGGCCAGGCAGCTGACAATGGTCTCGTCTTCGCTGATGATGCTGTTGCATTTGATGCCACCGGAGATCTCAGGGTTGCTGTGAATCTTGAACGTCTTGTCGCCAATGGTGATGTTGCCCCAGCCGTCATTGCTGATCTGGACTTGACGGTGATGGGTCTCTTCGAAAAGTAGCCATGGTTGAGGTACATGCTTCCGGGAGAAGTAAAGGAGCAAGACTGAGCAAGGACTTGGCTGCGGTCTTGGTCCCAGACTTCGATGGTGGCTTCCGAGGTGGCTTTGTTGACTTGGATGTCAATATTGACGGTCTCGGTCAGGTTGTTGATGACGTGTCGGCCACCTAAAGGGGATGAGGCGGCAAGAAGAATAGCGGCTAGGGCAAGTGGAAGGAGCCTCATGTTGTTCTTGGTGGCGATTATGAGTGAAGTTTGTCGGTGAAGTGATATTCTGTTGTCTGATGCTTTGAAGACTGGATGAGGAGGATAGTCGTCATGGCGGTCTGGTGAAGGGTCTTTATACTTTGTTATCAATCATGAACTCGGTTGACGATGTCATACAACATCTCCCGTATTCCTCCTGGGGCAAACTCTGGGTCCGCAAAGACTACGATCCTACATCCGGTGTTACGTCCACCTTCTCGTGAGCCTCTGAGGTTCCAAGCGAGGGACAACTTCACTCGTGCCTCGACAAGGCTTTGAAGTTGGCATCAAAGCTCTGTTGAACTCACAGACTGGACCATGACCAAGAATAGTATAAAACTTAACGACACATGCATTGTACCGAAGATCAGCCTCTACTACATGCCCGTGCCCTACGGCTTCCTACACGTACATTTTGAGGTCTTTCCTGATTATTCATTACCCAAATCTCCTGTCACCGAAGTAATATCGTTGATCTAGGGTAGGCGCTAAAGCGCCTTTCCTCCAAACAGGACTCACTCCTCCCTCTGGGGTTGTTACCGACGCACCTCTACATTAAGATCACTGTCTATTAGTTCCAATGGCCAAGTCCTTACATTAGAAGACACCTTCGAAGAGGATAAGGCCCAAAATGGGAAAGCGTAGCTGGGCTGCATGCCGTGAATTAAAGGGGATGTGTAGGAAAGTCTTCGAGTATAGTTGGCTTCCCTCCAGCATAGACCCGAATGTAACTGGCAGTGCGATGCTACCCAGGCATGGACACTACTGGAGGATAGCACGGGCACGAACATATCTTGGACCTCATCACTAACACACGGAAAGTGTGTTACAAGACCTTCGATCATCAGTCTTGGGGCTGTGACATCAAGCACTGCATCTAGCCTATATGCCCTATCCATTACCCCAGCCAAGGAACCCAGCCCTGCGAGCGTATTGGACTTTAACCGGTAGGAAGAAGATGCAGTTTGTCAGTATCCAGTAACCACCGATAGACATCGCATGACTGTTCTGTCGTTGTCAATCGCATGTGAGCGGAGAGGGCTCAATCCTGGTGAAGCAGATGCAACTCATCTTTTGGCCCCATTAGTTCGTATACCCTGCGGCCGAATACTTCGCAGAAACGGGCGGCTGTGCCGTTCTTTGTTTACTTGTCCCTAGATAATACACGTGCCACGCTTCTACTCCCCAGTTGCTCCCGGAGGTCATGTGGTTCAGCCAGGGGCTTGAGGTTGTTTCCCGCCAACAAACACGGCCCAGCGGCTGCTGGACGATTATAGTGCTGTATTTTATGGGCTGGACGTCCCGGGATCAACCACAACCCATTTAATCCTTTCATTTGCATTCAAGGTACAATTAGCAACCTCCGCCTTCTGCCATCACGAATCCTCAGCTCGAGGAAAGACTGCCATCTCTCATTCAATTCCAAGCCACGGACAGATATGTTGACAAAACTGTGATTCTGCAATGCAATCGAGACTAACACCAAGACCAGATCTTCAAAGATTGGTCATCACCACCCAAAATGTCCGTCAACCGCACCTGCAACCGCGATGCCCTCCCAACCTCAGCAACATCCCCGGTCTACCCATGGATTGCAGCGTCTGGGTCATCCCCAACTGGAACGAATCCTTCGTAGGAATGACCAAGTGCTGCTCTCCCAACGAGGTGCATGTCAGTGGCGCGGACGGATTCGAAGGGTGCGTTTTGTGGTGTTTGATTCCGGACTCGATTCTTAAAGACAAAGACGGAAAGACGGGCGAGGAGGATGATGTTCTTTCCGATATGGGCAATTGTGTGCAGAACAAGGGTGGCTAGGATTCGAGCTATATCAGAGGTGGGCAGGCAAAGGATAACGCGGCGGAGAGTTCCAAGGTAGCAAAGACGACGTTGCTTGGGGTGGGCGTTGGGGCGTTGTTGGCCGTTGGGTTGCTAGTTGTTGTTGTTGTTGTTATTTTTAACGTCTACTTCCGCCTCCCGTAGGGCATGAGACGTGCCGCACCGGTGAGTCTAGCATACAATATTAAGAGCAATGCCCTAACTGTCCACCAAAACCATTGATCCGAGGGCAAACCGAGGCCTATTGCCAGTATATATCATGTGTTGCCCATAGCGTAAACGCGGCCCAACACTTAAAATCGAATCGCCCAGTGGGCGAAAAAAGTACCGTTGGGTTGCTAGTGTAGTAGCGTGCGGGAAGGTTGTTAGTGTAGTAGCGTGCGGGAAGGTTGTGATTTTGGTGTGACTGGGCGCACACGCATTTCTGTGCTCGCTTTTGACTGGAAAAATACGTAGATTGTGCACGAGAGGGAGAAGGTCGAGATTAAGGTGTGGGAAGGGTGCACGCATTTTTGTACTCGCTTCTAAGCGGGAAAATACGTACTTTATTTTAGCGTCCACGAATCTCCGTACCTGCATGTATATACAATACTTTAGTGTACACGGAATTGTATGCACGACTTTAAGTGCTATTGATTTCTAAAGTACGTACTCGAAGTACTATACTTTAACGTGCACGGAGTTGCGTACACGCCTTCAATTAGAAAAATTCGTAGGTCGTGCTCGATTTGTAAAAGTGACATGTACACACATTCAGACTGCTACGTTTCTTCTTTCTTTCACCCAATCAATTCCTTTTTTAATCTTCATTCCTTCTATTGTTACTCAACTTCTATCCTCACGCGCAAAGCGGCTATAAAGAATTGTATACACATTGGAGCAAAGTCGACACTAACATCAACACATGTTTGGCGACACAAAGTCAACATCACTGGAATCACGGGCATCCGAACATTACAACAGGTCAGCATCACATTAGATTGATTGCCTACTAAACGCTAGTCTCGACTAGACATTGTTATCCTCCCACTTCGTCGAAAGGCGCTCAGTTTTGAAGTCAAGAAGGGGCGCATTGAGGCTGTGAGTTATCGTGCGGCTCACCATCGGCCTTTGACACAGCTGAGATATCTGTAGCAACTGGGCCAACTGGGGCAGCAGAGGAAGCCGCTGCAGTTTGAACAGCATCGACAGACACGGCGGTTCAGGTTGGTTTGCCGGATTGACAGCTGGCAACCACCCACTAAACTCTCGCCATAACGTCAGATGAGTCAAACGACTTTGGGTATCCTATCTACCTTCCCTTTATTTCGATGTAACGAGATACTAGTAGACCAAAACGGCCCGAGGCTTTTCGTTCTGTTCTTAATGGGCCGCCTCTTTCAGCCTGTATGGCTGTTGTCCGGAGTGTGCGCCAAGATCGGTCATGACGACCAACCTTGGAGTTTAATGGCGCCATGTTAGTGCTTGTGGCCCACAATGGCAGAATATAGTGGGATGCACTATCACTTACACATTTCCTCCCGTCTACGTCAGGACGAACGGTAGCACACGGCCAACAATGCGTACCTCTTGGCAGACGGGAGCCAGGCACCTGCCGCACCTGCCATTCACCTCCACTGCCTGCCCCACTCGTGCCCTGGCTTGCCCACCGTTCGTCTAGACCCAGACCTTCCACCTCTCTCTCCTCCTCTCTTCTTTGCGATCTCACAAGCCACACTACCACACCAACACATCTGCGCACCTGCAATCCGCATCAGCATGGAGAATACGTTGGGTCATTCGGAGTGCGCGCTTTCAGTGGAACCCATCCTACAGCGACCTCTCGTCGGGCCAGAGCAAAAGCTCATGATCCAGGCGCTGACAGGACGGTATTCGTCCAACTTTGGCCTCGCCCTGACTCTTTCTGCTGTTATGGACCTCAGCGTCAAAGACAGGAGAGTGGTGTTGCAGAGCACCCCGGCCTCGCTGGCCGATGATGTGGAAGATGGTAAGAACCAATACGCTGTGCTCGTCAATGCGATCCCCTCTGGCCTGCGCGACTCCTTGATTCAAGGGACACTGGCATACGATTGCGTCAAAAACGCAAGCAGGGACGCCTACGAGCTCCATGATCGAGTGTATGTATGGAAAATGTCGAGTAAATGTGTACGGATTGTGCAAGCTCTATTGATTCTCTTGCTACTACTTGGTAGTAGTCTCTGTCCCCCCAGTGATGACCGATGTGAACGTGAACTCTGTGACATTGGCTGTGTGGTATGCGGACACACTGATGATCCGTAGCCTTCGAGACGTAATACCTCGTGCCAAAGATTTGTGTGGTTCGCCATTGACAAGGGACCCATCATGCCGTAGCCTTCGATGCCCCAAACTGGTTGTAATAAAGGTATCCTGCCCGATTCGCCTTCGAGTATGGACCTATCGTGTTTGTGTATTGTCGCGTTACTTCGATTGTCCGTAGCCTGGGCCTTTTTGACTCCATGTCGGACGTGGAAGATTTCGGGGTTTCGCTTCGTGGGAGATGTAGATGTGTCGCGTTGATCGATGGCCAATTTGCCCGTGGGTCTCAGCCTTGAACAAGGTATCTAGTGTTAGCCGTTGTTTATAATACGCTTCTATTGTGTAAGAATGTTATTTGAATCTACCCAGCTCCCCGGGAAAACAATACGCGGGCCGTAGGTTGTAAGTGTAGAGGCAGACGTAGGTATTCCGGCGCCGGCAGGGATCGATAGTTGGCACAGGTAACGTTCGAGAGACGCGAAGTCATCGATGGGTTTCAGCCCTGGGGGAGCAGCGATAGTTCATCGTTTCCACCCGGTCCTTCGTAGCGGGTTCAAATGCAATATTGCCCGGGTACAAACAGGCGAGGTTGGTACGAGATGTCGAGTAGAAAGTTGTTGTCTACAGAAGGGGCGGGAGCTGCAGCGCTCTGGCCTGGTGGTGGGTTTTGTACCCGGTCCCGAACCTCACCACAGCTTCCGCGACTGCCTACCTAGTGATAGAAGTGGAAGGTGCGCCCCCTCTAAGGTACCTCCAAGATCAGTACCTTGGCTCCCTTCCTTTCTTCCTTCTGGGATGGATCTCTGAGCTGGGCAACCAATGGAACGTGTTGGAAGTCCCGTCTGTTTGTTGCCTCTACCACCAATTCACTGGTCTTACCCATTCACCACGGCGGCACTCCCGTCCCTTCCGTATATTTGTGCTGCCTTGTTTTTCTTCCTCCTCCTCTTCCTCTTCGTTATCGTCTTTTCCCAGCCCAGCCCACAACACCTACCCCGCTTACCTACCTCCACGCGACAACAACAACAACAACAACGGCAACAGCAATCTCGAGAGCGGCATCACAATGGATGCGCCTAGCACGCCACTGGACGCTCGTATACGTCGCGCCTGTATCATCGAAGTCATCAAAGAAGTCGAGAAATATGCGCATCTTGACGAGTCTTTGATTCGTCGCATGATCGAGGATGTTTTTACCCTTCAGGTACACGAGGAGCTCTGGAAAAACGAGTACGGATCCGTCTGTCCCAATGTCCGCAATTGGGCGATTGACCTTCGTCTTGTCAAATGGTTTGGTAAGTTCATGTTGTATACTTGCTACCCATGTCATTTACTAACCCGCCACGCATCGCGCAGTTAACCACCAGGCGAGCCAGTTCGTGCACAACTTCCCGCGCCCCGCTCCTTCTGCAAATGTTTCGCCCGAGTATGCAGCCTTCCTCCGGACAAAGATCCGAGAGTGCGACGGTGCCTTTTTTGTGCCTGATGAGGCTACGTGGCGCGAGCTGAGACCCAAAGCCAGCCAGAGCCACCCAGGCGTTTATGGCTTCTTCCATATCGTTCTGTCTAGAGACCATGCCCCGGCCGGCAAGGCCTGGAACAAGCTCGAGGCTCAGGGTCAAGACGAATATTTGGTCAACCATGGGCTTGTACGCATCCGCATTTGGCGCGACGTGTCCCAGAATGCTGTTGTCTACCAGTTGATGTGCAGCACAAAGAACCCCTCGGCTAGTGGTCTAGTCAAGCCTGTCCTGGGTCAAGTTTGGCTCAACCTCGTCATGTGGGCTTGCGACGTCCTCCTGCTGTCTCACGAGCCAGCGATGCAGCTCGGCTACCCTGCCTGGTTGAAAGACCATGCGGTCAAAGGGGGTATCACCAATTTGTCTCCTGACAAAGAGGCAGTGTTAGTGGACATCTCCGAATACGCACGCATGGTGGCCACGTTCAAGGCCGCGCTTCCTCAGGCTGAGCGTCTCCTTGCCGATATGTCCCTGGATGATGACAATTGCCAGCTAGCGATGACTCGTTGTCAAGCGTTGGCCCCCGGCATCCTTTCCCGGTACTCTCAGCTAATTTTCTGGGCTGCTTTTCACCGTATCCGTCCTCTCGACCCCTATCTTCTTGATCAATATCCTCGGCAGGGTCTGGCCATGACAACAAAGGCCCTTAAAGAGTTGATCCCCAACTTTTGTGTCTGGAAGGGACGTCAGTATGCTGAGCATTGGATTGAGCAAAATCCTCTATCCCTGCCGCCTACGATGCTTCATGAGACGGCTCAAGAAGTTTTGACCGACATGGCGGTTTGATTAAATTCCCGCCTGGGCTTCATGTTGTTGTACGGTTTGTTGGACATCACACCAACATTCGGCTAATTAAGCTTTGGGATTCTATGAAAATTTGTGGTCTTAAGGGTTGGCAAAGGGGTGTGCGTGTACAATCTGGGCAGCCGAACACGAAAGCTCCTTGCCGTCTACTTTAACACCAATTCTCTTTTGTTCCTTTCTTCCTTCAATATCCAGTATTTTCCTTATGTATCAGGACTGAACCTCAAGCGAGCAGTCCAAAAACCAATAAAGCCCAAACCCCCACCGCCAACAAAGTTGGTCCCTTTGATCCCGCCGCCTTTGAACTCGCCGCCGCGTTATCCCTCACCACATGCGCGCCCGCAATATACACCCCCGGATTCTTATTGGCAAACTCCCCCTTCTCCCAAACACAGTACCCCATGGCACTCCTGACAGCATTCTCATACATGTCGTCGTCGTCGTCGTCGTCGTCGTCCTCCTGCTCCTCCTTGTTGTGGTTCTCACGTTTATTCACAGCACCAGAGTTCCCATCCTTTCCGAGGATGTGATCGGGGATCAAGCACCACAAGACACACCCCTCGTAGTCGCCCTTGCCGGCGATGTGGACCTCGTTGGGGCTGCAGCATTGCTTCATGCCCACCAGGGACTGGTTCCAGTAGGGAATGTAGAAGTGGCTGCGGTCTAGGGGGGCACCGGGGGATGGGCTCGGGCATGGCATCGTGTTTGCAGGTGCGGTGGGACATTTTGATTTTGAGCTGGGTTGTTGGGGTTGTTAGTCTGGACGCTTGGTGGGAGGAAGGTTGGGCCTGATGTACTTACAGGCCCTTCTTGGTTGAAGGACAAAGGTAGTGATTCGTGGGCTGTCTCGAGTGCCGGTGAAGCAGTCAAGGATGGAAGTTTGGAGTGTTCACTGGATTAGAGAGGTGAAAAAATGAATCTAGCTTGGATGAAGATCGATGGATTGATGGGTGAGTTTGTGGAGGAGAAGATCAAGAAGGGCAAAAGACCCAGCTTAATACCCCCCTCCCAAAGAATGAGAAACTTTGGTGCCCGTGCAATTCTACGTAGGGTACATGTGGCCATCTGTGGATGTCATGACGGGACCAAATCCGTGCAAGTAAGTTTTGGTGAAATACCGATACCGTGGATCGGGCCTCGAAGCTGCATCTGCCCATGTGCAGCATGTAATCTTGTTTGGTAAACAGGAAGCATAAACATTACAGCAGGGGCAAATCCGTAGGAAAATGGAAGATACCGTAGAATGCCGCTCAAGCATCATGTGAATTGTTCGTGCTGTGATCAAGAGACTTCCGTTTTCAAGACCACTGCAGTGAGCGGGCCTCCCCTTGGTGGTGTCGACAACTGCAGTAGATGACCAAGACACTCCTCAAACCATCGCTTCTTCCCTTAATTTGACCGTCAAGAAACAAGCACTTTCCAAGCTCAGCTCTTCCAGCTTCTGTTTCTCATGCATAGTTGCATACCTACATGCGGTTGCTACTTGCCTTGCAAAAAGTCCAGTCTCTACGTGGGAGTCTCGCATGCGTCTGCAGACCGTACTGCAGTGCCTACTGCCTTATCGCCAATTTTCCAACCGCGGAAGCCACATCGTGGGGAGCTAGCTGTCTGTACGACTGGCATTTCGCAGGAATGGTGGACGGCACTGCAATGTCATTTCGACTGCAGTTGACTACCTTAGGTTTCCTTGCCCTGAGGAAGGATTTGCCACGCACTCCAAATTCACAAGGACAGTTTTCGAATCCAGACCGAAGATGGTAGCTGAAAATCCAGTCCAAAGCAACGGCGGATTTCGAAGCAAGATTCATCGATCCAACACCCAACGAGCAGCCGACGTTTGCATGCGTACTCGAGGACCAGTTTTGATCAAGAACAAGTGAAATTCAAAAAGGTCTATCCAATGCCTGCTTTCTATCGAATCCTTACCAATTCCAACCCGCCCTTTCCTTAGGTAGACAACGCTCAATCAAAAACATCAGTAGCATACCTCTCATTCCTGACACCCTCAAACCACTTCAGCGCCCTCTCCTCACTAACCTCCACCTCCTCCACCTTCAGCCCCTGCAACTTCAACCCCTCCACCAGTCCCTCCAACCCATCCAGCTCTCCCTTCTCCCTCGCCTCAACAATCCTCTTCTGTCTCTCCACCGCAATCTTGATAATCGTATTCTTGACACTCTCCCCCACCTCCCTTGATCCACAAACATACACCTTCGCTCCGCGATCCCACAATCCCAACAATTCCTCGCGATCCTCCCAGATGCGATCCCCGACGTACTTGCATCCCTTCGTCTCTTCGTTGTCGACATCCCGCGAAAAGGCGCGACGCACGGATACCGCGCCCATGGCTTCCCACTTGTTGAATTCCTCGCGATACAAATCGTCTTGCTGCGGGTGGCGGCAGCCATAAAACAAAACGGCGGGAGCGAGGTTGCGGCCGGCACCGATTTGCGCGGCGCGCTCTTGCACGAAGCCGCGGAAGGGAGCGAGGCCCGAGCCGGCGGCTACCATGATCAGGGGCGTCTTGTCGGCGTCGACGGGGAGGTGGAAGGCCTTGTGCGAGGGGCGGACGGAGACGTTCAGCTTGTCGCCGGCTTCGAGGGAGGCGAGGTAGGAGGTGGCTACGCCGACGTGCTTCTTGTCGGGGTTGGAGAGGGAGGGGGTCTCGAGGACGGAGTAGGTGAGTGTTACGTGGGAGGGGTTCCAGAGGGGAGAAGAGGAGATGGAGTATTGGCGGACACGCATAGGCGGCAACAAAGAGAGGAAGGAGGAAAAGGGGAGGGGGATGGAGGGGTATCGCTCGAGAAGGTCGAGGATGGAAACGCGGCGAGAGGTGATCTTCTCAGTGTATTCGGGTCCTGCCAACGAGCGGAGGGTGGCCTTGGTCTCGGCATCTTCATCGGTGCAGGCTTCGGCCAGAGCGAGGATGTTCTTCTTGGTGGCCGGCTGGGAGAGCTCGACGTAGGCTCCCAAGACGTCAACAACAGCAACGGGCACACCGGTGGGCAGGGTGGTCTGGCGGGAAGCTGCGATGGTGATGTTGGTATCCCAGGCCAACTGGAAGCGGCGCATGACGCGGTTCACCGTCTCCTTGGGGTTGATGGGCAGGACGGCCAGGTAATCGCCAGTGCGGTAAGCACCGGATTCGGACGAGAGCTGGATCTCGATGTGGCGCTTGGGAGGAGCACCAGGGGCGGTGATGGTCTTGGCATCGACGACCACAGCCTCCTGAACATCTTGACGCAAAGTGGAAGAGCGGGGCTTGGAGAAGTTGACAGTGATGCCAGACTGGAACAAAGCCTCGGAGGGATCATCCTCCTTCTTGCTGACCTCGTACTTCTCTTCCATGGCAGGCCAGAACACTTCGTCCTCCCATTGCTCGAAATCGGTAAACATCTCGCCCTTGGCGGCGTCGGCAAGACCCATAGAGCAGATACGGTCACCACCGCGGTCAGCAACGGTGTTATCGACAAGCTTGGGAATGCGATGGAAGGTCTGCGCCCAGTCGTGGTGACCGCAGCCAAAGACAGCATATTGGACACCCTCCAACTCGTTACCAGCCAAGCTCTCGAGCCAGCCAACGAACAAAGCAGCGTTATCAGGGGGCTGACCCTCGTAGGAGGCAGTGATGAAGATGACCGGTCTATCCTTGGGCAAGTTCTGGTTGGCGGCATCCAACGAGTCGAGGACAGTAGCCGTGAAACCGTGCGCCTCAGCGTCGGAAGCCAGGCGCTGAGCAAAGGTCTCGCAAGTACCAGTATTGGAACCATAGTAGATGCTGATAGGCTTGCCCTCTCCGCTCTTCTTGGGCTGTCCAGAGGATTGAGTCTGAGCAGGCTTGGGAGCAATGAGCTCACCCGACAGACGACGCTCCAAGTCCAGGGCAGACATTCCATCACGGAGCATGGCGCGCATGTAGAAGCCCTTGGGCTTGGTGGTAAGCGTCTGCTTGTACTGGAGGGTATAGTTGGGGTCCTCGGGCATAAAGTTGAAGTTCTGCAAGCAGACAGCCATGACCAGCAAGGCCTCCTGCCAGGCGAACGGACGACCGATGCAGGCGCGCATGCCGTTGCCAAATGGCTTCCAGAAATCGGGGAACTCCTTGTTCAAGCGCTCAAAGTTGTCGTCCAGCATGCGCTCGGGCATGAAGTCGTTGGCTGTGTCGCCGTAGACAGCCGGGTCCAGTGTGGACTTGGCAAACAAGAGAGCAAAGGGCTGCCCCTTGGGAATCTCGTACTTGCCGCCGATGATGGTGTCCTCCTTGGACTCGACGCCGATCATGGGGATGGTCGGAGAGAGACGGAGGGTCTCACGCAAGACGGCAGCGATGTAGGGCAGCTTGTTCATGTGCTCGAGCTTGATGGGCCCTTGCCGCACACGTCGTCGACTTCCTTTTGGGCGCGGCGGTAGGTCTCGGGGTTCTTGAGCATCTGGTAGAAGGCGAAGCTGAGAAGACCCGAGGTGGTCTCGTGGCCGGCGATGAGGAAAGTGATGAGGTTGTCGATGATGCTGTCGTCGCTCAGCTTCTGGCCCGTCTTGGGGTCGACGCCGTCCAACATGGCCGTCAACAAATCCTTGCGCTCTGAGGGGTGTTCCTTGCGGGACTTGAGCACGCCCTCGGCTGTTTCGCGGAGAACCTTGATGTCCTCGTGGAACTTGCGGTCGACCTTGGTGTACATGAACCCGGGAAGGGGCGGGCGTCTGGAACGGGTGCCGGACTCGACAAGGAAGTTGCCCATGGCGTCGACAAAGGGGTGCATCTCGTCGTGGTAATACGAGTTGAAACGGTAGTCCATGGAGCACAGGGCGATGGTGTCGAGGGTCAGGCGGGTGAAGTCGTCGGTGACCTTGATGGCTTCGCTGGAGCCGTGGCGGGCCCACTTGAGGGCGAGCTGGCTGGCGATCTCGTGCATCTCAGGGAACATGTTTTGGATGGCCATGGGACCGAAGGCGGGCATGAGGATTCTGTGGGCGATGCCCCAATTGGGCTCCTCATTGCGGGCGGTGAAGAGACCATCGTGGACGCCGTGACGGACTTCCTGCAGGGCGGAGCTGACGGTCTTTTGGAACCTCTTTTCGTCACACAGCTCGTGGATGAGAGCTTGGGAGGTCTGTTGACGTTAGATGTGTACGAAGACGTTGTGGGGAGTAATGAGACCTACCACAAAGACTACATTGCGGCCGGGAAAGTTGAGACGAAAGATTTCGCCTGTTGATGTTAGCGGGGTGTCATGATTAAGATATGGTGATTGTGGTACTCACCATATTGATTGGCAAAGTTGATCATGGACCCAAGCGGGAACTCGGTGTCAATGTCAAAGGCGTTGCCCACCAGGGGCAGCCCGGGCGGACCAGGGATGGGGACTGTTTCCGGTTTTGTTTCGTCTGAAGACATGATGAAGATGTGATGTGTTGAAGAGTGATTACACGCCTGGTGCAAAGGGGGGATCCCGGATGTTAAGTACACAATTAAGGATTGACGGAACTATGGGGCCGTTTTCGTGGACTAAGTGAGACAGCGAACAAAGAAAGAAGGTGTCGTATTTGGTCGATGGCGGCTCTCGGCGTGGTGGAGAAGAAAGTGAAATTCTGGGCCCGGACCGGCTCTAAAATGCGTGCGGTGAGCTGTGAGGTGTCTTGGGGGTCGGAGTATTGTACACCGTCTGTTGAGCCTCGGTGAAACAGAAAGGAGGCTATGAAGTGATGCTGTAGGTGGGTGTTGTGTGATACTGACTGACCTCTCTTCAAGATGCAGTTTGGAGGGTGGGAGGATGGAACAAAGCCTTTATACGGAGACCATCCATCACCAGGGAGATCCGGACGATGGACAACGATCATGACGTTGAAACGCATTGCGACAGGTCAATCCTTGTCCAGTCAGAGAACCTCCTTTCAAAGGCCTCTCGTTCGCTCGCTGTCAAGGATCCTCTTGGCAGGTCCTCCACTTTGATGGTTGAACTGGTTTCGTTGCGTGTCATTGCAGCCTGTCGTAGCAGTCGATGAGTTGATCGGTAATCCACCCGGCCTCGCTTGTCTCCGAAGTACAAGTGGAAAGCGGTCATTGCGCATTGCTCTTGGGTCCGACAATGTTTCCATCGGAGAATTCACCTCGTTAGGTAATGTTTTGGACCCCTTTTCTTGAGACTGTCGCAATCGATCGAAGCCATTCCCGTCTTGAATGAGGTGGTCCAGGGGGGGGGGGGAATGTGGAAAGGTGGAAAAAGTGGCCAATGTCACCACTCACCAGGAGATGACAGACGGTGGGATGAACCCCTGTAATAAGTACCGATAAGACCTGAACCTCGGCGCAATCGATTTTGTGATTTTGTGTTTTCCTCTACAATCGACTTGTTGTATTTCGATATTTCCCGTCCGCCACAAAAGTTCCCCTCTCCTTTCAGCTATGCCATCATCCCGCTCATCCCGAATTCTTGCCGTTTTTCGTTACCTAAGCACCCGCGACCGTGACAAGGATGATCAAGGCCAAGGGGACGGCAAGGCGGGACTGTCACCAAGTGTCCGCCGATAGTTCGCGGCTTTTGACTGCAGCGGTCATTGGTCGCTGGTAGGGAGAAATGCGCTGAAACGACGGGTTCAATGCCCTCCGTAGCGTTCCCGTAGGGCATTTCTGGGCGCTGCATGGATTCATCATGGAACACCAAGGGACATGGAAACGTGCAAAAGTCCGGTCGAGGCTGTAAATTTCCGTGCTTGACGAAGATGGAAGAATGATAAGGCAGCCTGGCTACGTTACAACAACCCTCCATTATCAATTCGACCGGTTGGTTGGGATACCGGATCTCAGGTACCACCGGCGGTATTAACCTAGATCCACGGGACTTGTTGGCCGGTCGTGGTGGTGTCGTGAGGGCATCAAAGCAAGGTCATTATCCCAGGTTGTCGTTTACGTTGGGTCAGTTGAGAACATCAACGTCGACGGATGCGACCGGCCACCTCCAGGTGTGGTGTCGAGTGGTGCTGTGCTATCCAAACAAGGCAACCATCCCACTGTAACAAAAGGAGTCCGAGTTGTTCGTCACCGGTCACCACAGCAGTTAGCGCTTTTTCGTCAGTTGGCTTGTCTCGCATAGTCCGTGGCCTCGGTATAATAAAGATGAAAATAGACTCTCGCACGAACCAGGACGGATATGGCGGTGTCTGTTGTTGTTCACCGATGGTAGTGTTGTTCTGTCGTGCGTGTTTGGCGACGGACCGGAATTATCGATTGCGGTTGCTGACGGACCGGACTTCTTGTTTACTTTCCGCTGCCGGCTCTTTTTCCGCCCGACCCCCGACAGAACCTTGATGGCTCCGTGTGTCTTTGTGCATGATAACGGTTTAGATTACAGTGTACTGCCAAGGCCTTATCGCTATCATGTTGCAGACCGTCCTTGGCATGTCTCACACTGAGCCCTAACCCCAAGCAGCACTTGCCCCTGAAAACGGCTTGATGCCATCGCCATTCAGCTCCCGAGGACAATGAAGGGATTCGCCGTTGTTTGTCCATTTCCGGCTGTATACGGTTACACGAAAGCGTAAACAAAGCGCCCAAATCCAGTTCGTATGCAGCACAGAGTTTGAGCCTTGTTTGCCTCGACCCTTTCATTTGAACTCGCAGTGTCTCCCGTCCGGCGGAGGCAGCGTATCGACGCCCACCCAACAACACGCCGACTGGACCAGTTCACCGGCTTCTCATCTGAACTGACCATTCCCTCACCTGTTCAAGTTGGACGTTCACAACACCAACAACACTGAATCACAGAACTCACGCAGAGCCTCGATGACCGGGGAATCGCATCACCGGTCATGGTGCCCGAACCCCATAAAGCCTCTCCGAGAGGCACCTTTGGACAACTTCTAGTGGAAAAATAACAGCAACCGACTGAAATACCAGCAAAATGACTGACAAAATCCACAATCTTTCGACTTGGGACAACGTCGCTCCTCGCACCTACACTGGTCGGGTGATCTGCTTCCCATTTGACGACGAAGCCCGCAAGAACCAGTCAGAGAGCGCCCAGGCTCTCCTGAACTCACTTCGCAATAGTCTCGACGTCCTTGTCAAACAGCGACCTGACTTTGCCGGAAAACTCCATCTCGGAGCGAACCTGACACCCGTCGAGAAACAAAGCGTAGCCAAATACAAGGACGGATACGTCTACCTCCTCACATCATCCAACTACAGGATCTATCTGCGGCCCAAGTACCCGAAGGAGCTCGAGTCCCTTTACAGAAAGGTCACTGCCAGAAACGGCACCGAGGATGTCAAGGCAAAGGGGATCAATTTTGACAAGAACTTTATCGACTACGACACCTTGAAGCGCTCCAAATTCCCCGTCAAACCCTTCATCAACGAGGACTTGACCACCGACCTGATGCTCGAGGAAGGAAAGGCGCCCATACCCGTTGTGGAAGTCGAAGTCATCTTCCTCAACGGCGGTTTCTTCTTCAACCTCCTCATCCACCACACATACTTTGACGGCAAGGCGTATCACAAGTTCCTGGAATGGTTCGCGGCCTGCACTCGCGGACAGAAAGTTCCCCAGTTCCCCACTAGTCCCATGATCAAGCTTCCCTACGAACAGGACCGGTCCCTCGCCGGGAAGAACTTCGAGGACATCCTTCCTTTATGTTCCGATTTCCAGACCTGGCCAAATAACGCCCTCAAAGGTCCAACGCAGCCCATCCAGCCCTATATCCCCAACAGCGAGAGACCAAAGTCCTTCAAAAATGACAGCAAGATCTTCATCTTCAATTTCTCCAAGCTCAAGACCCTCAGCGTCGAGCTTGCGCAACTCCTTCCCGATAAATCTACTGCAAAGCCATCGGCCTATACAACCCTCTGCGCCCTCCTCTGGGCACACACCCTCGTCGCGCGCGAATCCTTCCTCAGGAAAACCTCCGAACAAAGCGAAGCCGCCCTGCACACCCATTTCCTCTCCCACCCGCCCTTCTTCTCAACCCCAGTTGACTGGTCCAGCACCAAGCTTCTCCAGACATACCCCTCCTCCCTCGCCCCTTTTACTGAGTCCTACTTCGGCAACACAGTAACCTGGGCCATTACCACTCTTCCCCCCTCCACCTGTCTTTTGCACGACATAGCATCAGGTTCCAAACCCTCCCTAGCCCTCGTCGCCAGCTCCATCAGCCACTCCATTTCCCAAATCTCCCCCTTCCACCTCTTCAACCGCGAAGCCCTCTTCGCTAAAGCCCCCGACATGCGCATGCTCGGATTACCATGGGATAGCCGTATGCCAGCAGAGTGGGGGATGAATAGCTGGGCGGATTTCGGGGCTGATATCCATTGGTCTTTGCCTGGTGTTGCGAGGAGTCCTGATACCTCTACAGAAGGAAAAGGGACATGGACGCTAGCGGATGCGCAGAGAAGGGTGCAGAAGGAGGTGGGTGGTAGTGGAGGGTTGATATTGCCGGCAAAAAGAGCGAGGCCGAGAGAGTGGGAGTGTCAGGTTAGTTTACCGGAGGGGGCGATGAGGGCGTTGGAGGGGGATGAGGTTTTTGGGAGGTATGTGGAGGGGGTTATTGGTTGAGGTGGTGAGGTGATGATTGAGGCTTGGTTCTTGCCGTAAGGGGATAATAGGTTTCGGCGACGTTGGAACACTGACAGGGCTATCATGGAGACAGATAATGGCATTGACGAAGGAGGTAGAGGACACTCCAATCATGGAGGTAAATGGGACTCATTCTGTCCCTGTAAGGATGAATCGCACATCCATCAGAAGGCGTTCAGGACTGGATGATACCAGCATGTGCATCTTGATAGGAGGTTTCAATACAAAAGATCAGAAAGGCATTTCACGGAATAGCATCACAGACAGCATCACAGATAGCGTAGCACGAGACTCAAAGAACAATGGAATGTTTGCCTACAATGACCCGGGGAACGGGGAACTTCACCCGGAACCCCGTGCCGTTAAAAGGTTTATTGTGCCACCAACACCCAATACGGCACCCGTTCACCACCAACCTGCCGTGTCCGAAACAGGGGCTCTGTTCATCTAGCAACACCACAAACCTTGACTCGACCTTGATAGGACCTGAACGGACAAGCAATTCACTGGTATTCGAACACACATTGCGCGTTCGAAAAATCATGGTCCAACGGATATTTAAATCATCCTTCCCTGGAAGATCTGGAACCCGATTTCCCTTCTTGCAACATCATCGACAAAATGAACAACACCAACACCAACAACCACGAGCAAACGCTCAGATCAACCAGGTCCTCGACAAGACTCGCAAACAGGTCCGTTAACAAATCCTCCAACGAGTCCAAAGAGATCTCCGACCACATTAAGTCCAGCAAAACCTCTGGCAAGTCGAGCGAGACCTCCAGCATGTCCAAGAAGACCGACAAGTTCAACAAGGCCGCCGACATGTCCAAAATGACCTCTAACGTTTCCACCACCGCCTCAACCCCCATCCCAAGTGCCGCCGTCACAACCCACCCCCTCGGCCTCTGGAACAACATCGCCCCCCGCACTTACACCCCCCGCGCCCTCTGCTTCCCCTTCTCGCCCTCCGCTCGTCTATCTCCTCTAACCGCAGCCTCCACCCTCCTCTGGTTCCTCCGCATCCAACTCCTACGCATCATCAAAACCCGCCCTTCCTTCGCCGGCAAGTTGCAACTCGGCATCAACCTCTCAGCCGACGAAAAGCGCTCTCTCAAAAAGATGGATGGGAAGTACAACCCCTGGCACGTCTACCTCCAAACCTCGCCAGACTACGAGATCCCCTTGACAGCTCAGTACCCAGCGAACGACGGACTGATGAGAGCAATGTACTCGGACCTTGAAGCACGGTTTGCGCCTACCGAAGTCGAGGGTTGGCACAAGGAGTACATGGATTACGAAAATTTGAGAAGGGCCGAGTTCCCTGTTGGGCCGTTCATTAATCCCTTGTTACACGATTTGAGGACGCTGCGCGAGGGAGGGGAAGCATTGCCTGCTCTTCAGGTTAGGGTGCTACTTCTCAGAGGCGGGTTCATACTGAACATTCTGGGACATCATTCCTTGTTTGATGGAGAAAGTTTTACCCAGATCTTGAATGTTTTGGCGGAACATACGCGGAGTTTGAGTCCCACATGGGAGGGGGTCCCGGGGGAGTCATGACCTCGCTCTTGCGCTTCCGAAGATGGAGGAGCCGTGCGAGGAGCTGTTGGCCAAGTGTCCCGAGTACAAAGAGTGGGAGGATCATGAACGAAACGGTCCTACCCACCCCATCTGTCCTAGCCTTCCCGGCCACGAAGGCGAGTCGTCGACTGGTTCCTCCAAGATCTTCGTCTTCACCTTCGCCAAAATTGTCGAGCTCCAGAAGGAAGTCGCGGCTCAGGGCGTGAAATCCGGTATCTACGAGTGTCTGTCCGGTCTCTTGTGGACTTTGACGTACGTCTCTCGTGTCAGGGCTTCTTCCATCGACCCTTCGTCATTCGAGAAGTTCCTCCATGACCATTTCGCTGAGGAGCAACCCGTCTTTTCCACGCCCACAGACTGGATCGCTCGTGTCGCTGCTTTGAAGTCGACCGACCCCGAGGTGGTGGCGTTCAAGGAGCAGATCGCCAAGGACACGAAGGAGTATATGGGTAACAAGATCACTTGGATCAGCACCTGCTTGCCTTCCGCTTCTCTCCTAACCAACGCCGCCGCGAAGGGAGGAGACATGGACTTCGCTGCCCTGGCAGAGATTGTGTCAGCCATCAACAAATCCAGCAGCGATATGGCGGAGGATATGCCCGAGTTCATCACCACCCGCACCAACCTTTTCCAGTCTCTCTCTCAGACTTCCCCGGGTGACGACATCCGCCGCATAGGCCTCTCGTTTGACCCCCGCCAACCCTCCGAATGGCAAATGAATAGCTGGAAGAACTTTGGTGCCGACACCGAATGGCGATTCCCTCCTCTTCCATCTTTGACGCCCCCCTCCAGCCCCATGGTGCCTACCAACACCTTCTCTGAGTCTGCCTCGGAATCTTATAGTCATCGTGAGGTCTTCAATGTTACCAAGCCCGATGCTGTCCGGAGGGTGCAGGCTCGGTATGGTGTTAGCGGAGGATTGTGGTTGCCGGCGAGGAAGGACCAGAAGAAAGAGGTGCTGGTGCAGATTAGTTTGCCGGAGGAGGCGATGGAAGTTTTTGAGGGGTTGATGAAGGAGGGGAAGTGGGTTGAGCGTGTCATTTGATGCGGGATGTCTTGATGATAGGATGATGTTCTTTTCCTTCAGGAGTTGTTTGGTGGTATTGTACGATTATGTTGGAATGAGATTGTCAAAGGGATTGGAACAGGAAGGGAATTGTGGAATTGGGGGAGAATTTTCGGACTCAGATTGGAACCTCATAGAATTGCTTCGTTGACTGGGGAAGGTACCTAGTAGGTACTCATTTATTCGTTTTCAGCAAAGGTGCAAAGGCCGTAACACCATGGTGGATATCACACCCCCAACAGAATCCAGGTTGTAGAAGCGCACAAAGCGCACGGGGGGGAATTAGTTCGTCGTTGTTAGATTACTTATAGAATCATTCCTTCTTACCTGATACTATCCCATTATTTTCGTTTGGCGCATGCTGCTGATTGTGATTGCTGCAGATCCTCGTATTGTTTCTGGTGACACGACATCCCCGCGGGGCGCTCTCCTGCCACATCGTTGGCTCCGTTGGCTTCATTGGCAATTACTCCTGACGACAACGGACGGGAAGCTGATAAGGGGATGCGAGCTCCCGACTCCCGACGGCAGTCTGAGACTGGCAGTTCCTTTTTCCTTTTACTCGTGGCCTTCGTTCCCGTGAAAATTTTGAGCAAACTTGGACTTGGACCTCCTCGCCGGCATCTGAAATGGATATATCGAGATAATCCAGCATTTGTCTTCAACATCGTATCGAGCCACTCGCTCACCAAACTGAACCACAAAAATGCGGTCAACACTCCTCCTCCCGTTTCTTCCTGCCCTAGCCACGGCCACGACATCCCCCAAACGCGGCCTCATCTTCACTCCCAATAGCAACTGGCCCAAAGATGACCTGATCTGGCTCACGGGCCCCAACAATCTGACCTGGTACCACAACTATCAATCGCTTCCGTCTCCCGAGTCAGACTATGCCTCCCTTTCCCAGAAGCAGATCCAATTCGTGCCGACAATGTGGGGAGGAAACGAGAATGACACCGACTTCCTGGGAAATGTGACCGCCCTGATGGGGGTCGATCTCAGCAAAGAAGACAAAGATGACGACAAAGGCAACAGGAAAGGCGACGGCAAAGGAAAGGACAAAACCAAAAGAGCCGTCGAAAAGCGCGACATCACCCACGTCATGACCTTCAACAAACCCGACCAACCCTTTAACGTCGGGGGTAGCGAAATGGCGCCCCGAGTAGCAGCCAAGGCATGGATCAAGAACATCATACCCCTTCGTCGATTGGGAGTCAAGGTCGGCCTGCCACTTGTTGACAAGCCGCACACGGGAGGGAAGAAACGAGACGATGGGGAGAAATCATGGCTGGACATGTTCTTTGCCAACTGCTCTGGGCTTCTGGATAAGTTGGAGGACGCAGAAGAGAAGACGTGTGGATTCGACTTTGTGTCGGTTTATTCGTTTGGAAGCCTTGAGATGTTGAAGGAGAGGGTGGGGATGTTTGAGAATGCGTGAGTCCTGTTTTCTTTCCTTCGACGTCCGCTTCCCTCAACCCCGTTCCATCTCCGTCCGCTATGCCACTCTTCTAATCTCACCATTAACAAAATGTCCATAGCTTCCCCGGCCTCGACATCTGGATCACCGAATTCGGCTTCCCCTCCGAGACCCTCGAGAACACGCAGGAATTCTACAACCAATCCATTCCCTACCTTGACAGCAAGGAGAGTGTCAAGCGATATGCCTGGTTCGGCGCCTTTCGAAGTATTGTGTCCAACGTCGGGCCCAACCAGGCTTTCTTGGACCCATATGGAAAGTTGACAGATATTGGGAGCTGGTATCTTGGTGGAAACGCGACAGGACGACAGGCATTACCTAGCGATGACTACAAGGGGGATAATGAAAGGTGCACAAAGGACAAGCCGTGTGAAGGGGATGAGAATGGGGTGGGAACATTGCGGCCCGGCGGGTTGATTGTTCTTTTGGTCGTCGTCTCTTTGTTCTTGGTATAGCGGGTCTTTGGGTAATTCGGCTTTGGATAATTCAGCGCATCTGTTCAACGCTCACGCTCCGTATGTGGCCCGGTCCTCTCCGGTGTCATCCAGCCCGCCTCCATCACCCTCTCTCCTCCTCCATCATCACCCTCTTCCATATCCCTCCTCCCACAACCTACTCAGCACAATCCCTATACCAAGCCCCCAACTCCGTCAGTTCCCCTTCATCCCCCAAAAACGCCGCCCACCTTCCCACATTCCCAATTGTCTCCGGCCTCATGGCCCCAAACCACGCATACCTCTCCACCCAATCCAGCGTATCCAAATACTTGCAGCTCTCCCTGCAAAAGTTCTCCACCTCCTCCTTCGGAATCGGATCTTCCTGATTCCAATTCGTGCAAGCAAACTCGGTGATCCACACCGGCTTGTCCGGTCCCAGCTGGTGGTGCGTGCTCCAGATGTAATACCATAAAAACCCCCCCAGGTTCGCGCCGCCGTACCAATGCAGACAATAAAAATCCACGTCTGAGCCTTGGGACCGAATAGCCTCCATAAATTCCCTCAGCCAAGTTACGCCCTGCGGCGCGGAGCTGATACCTGGTGATCCAGCGCGCACGCCCTGTCTACGCAATGGCTCGATTACACGAAGCCATTCGGCGGCTGCTAGCGCAACGTCCATGTTTGATTGATCAGGTAGTTCGGGCTCGTTGAAACCAAGGATTGTGGGCTGGCCGTTACATTCTGGATCTGGATCGGGGTAGCAGGCGTTTAGATGGCCCGGGAGCTCGTCGATGTAGACGTGGTTCCATTGCATCGGGACGAAGTGGAGAGAGCAGCCAGGGCCGGTACCGGGGGTGAGGCGCGGGGACCAGTTGTAGAGCCAGGAGACTAGGGAGCCGGGCTTGGAGAAGAGGAAGGGAGGGTCGGGGGAGGAGACAGGGAAGGTTAGACCGCGTTTGGACATTTTGCGGACGAGGATTGCTTGGGTGCTGAGATGTTGTGGTGGTGAGGTTGGCGTGGTGAAGTCGGTATTGTGGTTAGGTTGAGCTTAGGGTTGAAGCTGTTGCTGTGATCGAGGTCGAGATCCGGTTATGGCGGGGTTGAAGCCGGCGTCTTGATGGTTGATGTTAATTATGGGATCGAAGTCGGTAGTCGTGAAGCTCAGTCTTAAGAACTGGAGCCAGAAAAGGAAGAAGAAAAAGGGACCTCGCTCAGCCTTAACAGGAGATGAAAGTGGATTCAAGCTGTCGTGATTGTTGACATCCGGATGAGCTGGCGAGGGGTCGGTCACCAAATCGCCGACGGGACTCGGCACAGCGGCTGCGGCACTGCGGCAGTGTCCCGGCAGTGCATTGTAAGCTGCGATAAGATAAGCGCTAAGCGACCTTGGCTCCAGCGGTTGGCGGTCCCCTGATGACGTAGTTTTGGGCGGTGCTGGGCTGGGCGTGTCCACTTCTTTCAGTGGTTCTTGTAGTTAAGGTAGGGTTGGCTATGGGGAAAAGGGGGCGATGAGGTGGTTTTTGGGATGTCGGCTTCTCCTACGTTTCCAAATTAGACCTTCAAAAATCTGTCCGGAAGGCTGGTCATGATCTGCTCCATTGGTTTCTGGGTTAATAGGGCTGTAGCTGTCGTGGCTGCGGAGTTATCGTAGAGTGGCCAGCGACCCCTCGAAGCATCCCGAGCTGGAGCCGATGCATCGCCAACCCGCCAAGGACATGGAACTTCGAAGCGGAAGCAAGAACCGAACCAACTTCCACAGTAACTGAGTTCGTAAATGCCATAGAGGCATGAAAAGAAGAGGGCAGAAGAAAGTTCTTAGTATGCGAGCCATTGTGAATGGCAGAGGATGGGCGATTGAATGTTTGTCTGGGTGGAAAGGGGGACTTGGTCTTCGATACACGTGTTGATGAAGCGATGAAGAAACCCGCTCGCTGTGTAGATATCATCTTTTCATTTCCAGGCTTATGAACCAACCAGTTTCAATCCTGGTTCGAGAAGCCGGACACTGGAATGCGGACAATCAACCTGAAGTAAGGAATGCAGACAATCAACCTGAAGTAAGGAATGCACGTGGCTTGTTTCTGCTCCATGGCCCGTCCTCATGGAATCTCATCCTGCGAATGGCTTCACATTGTCCCAGCCCGTGTGCAAACATTGTTCTTTCCCGCACCTCCCTGACCATAAATTATGCCACAAAATATCATCCCCCATGATTCCCTACCCAAACGGTTTGCATCGAATGTTCAAGAACTATTAGGGAGGTCTTCTAGGCGTTTGGCGTTCTTGCAATTGTCTTTCATCTCTCCGGTTATCTGTGTTGGGCAATCATGTGCCCTTATGGGCCTGGCCCTTTGACATTGATCCTTGAGGGGTAATCGGCCGTCATACAAGAAGCCGGGCCTCGCCTGCAACTGATTTAGTAGCTGAGTCCCTCTTTTCCTCCCCTACGACGCAAAGACTGTCGCTGTCAGTGTCCATCAAAGCATATCCAACCTATATCCAAAGCTACCTACCTGATATCACAGCCAAAATGGACGCCAAACGCTACCAAACCCGTCCCGACCCAACCTTCCCCCAGGTCATCCGCGCCCCCTTCAAGTCCACAACTTTCGCTCTGTCGGGTGTAGGATACGATTGGTACACCTGGAACGAGAAGCCTTTTGAGTGTCTATGAAGGATTGTGTATGTGTTTGATGTAAGTGATCACCAGCGTTACCGGTTCCGCCTTCTTCTCCATTGCGCTGACACCACGAACAGATCCTCTTTTCGACGGCACAAACGGCTATGATATTACAAGAAGGATACGAAGAACGGAAGGTGGATAGTAACAGGAAATCCATATCGTCATTCAAAACTCTACTACAGTATACGATCGCTATCCGATCTCATCACTCATCGATCCGTCCGTCCATCCGTTCGGACCGGCGAAGTCTACCATGCCCTTTCGCCAATCCCTCTTCATGTATAACAGGGACAATGAGACGAAGCCAGAACAGCAGTTGGTATCTTGGAGACAGAGAAAAACATAAGAAAAGGGAATACATAATGCCATCCGCATCCCTCTAGCCATGGCCTTTTGTGTATCTTTTGTGTACGAGTACCACCCTCTTTGGTCTTGACAATAGAAATTTTGTCTACCGCAGACTTTTGTCCCTTTTGTTTACCGCAGAAACATAATGACAGAGCTGAAACCACATGTCCTACAAAACATCTTCCCAAAAAGAATGCAGAAAAGGTCAATACTTGATCATAACATCATAAAGCAAAACCAAACATCGCTTTTGTTTCCGAAACAACAAGGAAACCACCACCCAGCTACCATAATCATCATCACTCAGGAAATGTGTATTCTCGCAAAGACTTTGCTATGTAACAAAAAGGAAAACCGTGTTGTCTTCTGTGTAGTATCGAGTCGATCTATGTCGAGTCGTCGTTCGTAAAAAAAACCATTCGTCGTAGTACTGTCGTACAGATAAACGCCTTGCGAATGCGCTGCGTTCAACTGGAGGCCAGGGATGGTCCCAACATGCGAGATGTTGCTGTCCGTCCTTGACATTGTTGAGCCTTTCGGATAACATAGTCCAAACAGACACACAACACTCGTCGGGCCATGCCGTCCTTCCACGTACGTAGCCTGAAAATCAGGCCCACACGATGTCATTCCCGGTGGAAGAGAGATCGTGGGTATGTGTAGTACCGTACACTTGCTGCTATATCCTCATCCGTCGCACTGGGTATCGTTCCGGGGTCCACGTCAAGTCCGTAAGCCATATCCGAGATCCGTATTCCATATCCCGCCGATTCCTTACGCAAAGGGCAACGAGTCCATCGAAAGCTCCGAGACAGTGCTGAGATTACTCCGGTGTCGTTTATGCACAGGCATGGTGGTCGGGTCGTCAATGAATGAACCGTTGGGATCGATGGTGGGAGCCTTCCTTTTCTGTGCAATGACTTGGTTGAGCGAGGAATCCAGCAGGGGTTTACGCCACGGGGATGGGGTGACATTAAAGTAGGAGGGATGAAGAGGAAAAGAAGGGGGTAAAAAGAGATGAGTGGGTCCTACCATGGAGCTGTCTTTCCTCCTGCGGGCGGGGGTGATGGGTGTTGTGACCGTCTCCATACTGCCGGTCTTGATACCTCTCAGTGTGCCGTGGTAGTAAGGTCCCGAGAACGAAAGCGATTCCTGGGTGGCCCGGTCGCTGAGAATCAGTTGCTGGTTGATCTGGTTGCGCCGGAAAGCTCCGACGGCGTCCGCGTTGTTGGTCAGGTGGTTGAGCAACGGGTGCATCTCCTGTTTGTCGCTGTCTTTCTTGGTGGGCGAGTTGGCGGCGCTCTCCGGGTCAAAGTCAAGCACTTCATCGTCTTCTGAATCTGTGTTATCGAATCTCAGGAAATCATCAATGTCCAGCTTCGCCTCCCCCTCGTCCACTTCTGGGTCCATGCCCAGCTCCGAGTCGTCACTATCGACTTCGGCGTAAAAGTCGCCGTCCATGGGAAAGAAGGCCTCGGCAGGACCCCAAGGCTGTGTGTTCATAAAGTCGCCAAAGGGATTGGAAGAGGCCATGGCGCCCATCATGAGGTAACCGGGGTTGGTCAGGAGGGGAGTCAAGTAGTCGATAGTAGCTGCTGGGATGTCATTGATGGCCTCAGCGGCCAAGTCCGCATCCGCAGCCTTTTCGTCCTTCTTAAAGATCATGATCTTGCGAGAATTGGGGTTGAAGACAGCGATCGGCTTGTTCTCGGATCCGTCCAGGTGGAAACGGCCCACGCGAGGTTTGCCCCGTTGCGACCGCGATGGCCTATCAGCCTCGGACTCTGAAGACACAGGCGCGGACTCAACACGTACTGCCTGCTTCTTCCGAATGATGGGCTCGGGATCCTCTTCTTCTGTTGTTTCGCCGTCCGCTGTGACGAGTTAGTTCCGCACAAAGTTCGAAAGGACTGGATCGACTCACTCTCATATCCGTCAAGCTCCATCTCTTGAGCTTTGGAGAGAGCAGAGTCGGGCAGTTCTGGCGTAATGGTCGGAATGGGTACGGTCAGGTTAGGCAAAAGAGAGGCACCCAGCAGCATGTTTTGCGGGATCTGGACCTCGTCCTCCGAATCCATAAAGAACTCTTGCGGATTGCCGTCGTAATCCCAGAAAGATTCAGCCGAGGATGACTCATTGCCACGTTCGATCTCGCAACGGAAGCCGGGATCCAGCTCGTTGCGGTCAACAAAGATATCGGGAAACAAGTCGGCATTGGACTCGGTCTCGGTAGTTGTCGAGTCCGAGTCGCTCTCGTCGTCAGGAATGCCGGCAAAGCGAACGTGACGTTTGACACTGACCTCGGTCTCGATTGAGGGTTCGGGGACTTGTTCGATTAACGTGGCCTCTTCCGGTTCCGACAGACCGCCCCAACTCTCGTTCTCGTCAGTAGGATTATTGTCGTCGTCGTCCTCGGGCTCGTCGTCGTCCTCATCTTCGTCGTCACCGTCTTCGTTCTGTTCATATTGGTCCTCCTCCTCTTCGTCTTCCTCGTCGGCATCTTGGTCTTCCTCCTGAGCAATGACTTGCGGCCGAGGGGTGTTGTCCAATGGACGCTTGCGGGAAGCTCGCGTCAAGAGGTGCTCCTCCTCGGCCGCCATGACATTGTCCTCGTCATCTTCGCTCTCGCTGAGGTCCTCGACGGCCGAGTAGCCTTCATCGTCGGACAGGTCGAGGGAGGAAGAAGAGTCGGAGGAGACGGAAACCCGACGCTTGGTAGCCTTGAGAGGCATACGCGGGTTTTTTAGTTTGATGGTCGTCCGAGACATGGTGGGGGACTGGATGACCGGGGGTCTGTTTAGGTGGTTGTGGGTGGTGGTTGGTATGATGCAAGCGGCGGTGAACCGTGCGCGGAGCTAAGATCCGAGATGATCTTCTTTGGTCTCGGGTTGCCCAATCGAGTCCTTCTTAAATCCGTGTAGGTATACTTGGACGCTGTCAGTTGGAGCTGTCGAGGGTCTTTTTGGTTGGTGGTCTGTCGAGGATCCCAAGAACAGCAGAGAGCAGCGAGACAAGAGACGGGGTCGGATTTGAGGTGGGGATGGAGTGACTTTGTGACGGTAGAAATCGGCGGGTGGCAGTATGGAATCGTCAGGTGGGCCAGTGGAGAAGACGGGGTATGCTCCTCTCTTCGGGGTCGTCTGGAGTTCTGGACTATATTTGTGTCCTTTTGTCTTTTTGGTAGTGTTGATCTGATGTTGTCTTTGCAATATGATGATGTGTTGTAGTAGTTGATTTTTGCTAGGTGGTATTAGCCACTTCTTCCCAAATCCTGCACTGGGACACTGCCTGTCCTATGCCCTGTCGCGGTATTTGCAGATGCTGTGCAGGGAAGAGGCCTTTTTCGAGGTTGAGAAAAAGCCTGGATAGCTTCTGATAGTCGAGTGGTATGGGTAGGGAGGGCAGGGATAGTGGGGAGATCTGGACTCTCTCGTTGAGGCTGCTGGACTGCGGGCGCTGTGGATGGCACCCGCAGTGGGCGCTTAGAGCTCAACGACGGCCGAAGGCATCTTGAAAAATCTCGACTGAAGCTAGTTTATGTATGCTGGTGGGGTTGTGAGGGCGACTTCGTTGTCTTTTTTGCTTGGTTGGGGATTGGTGGTTGTGGTTGTTGTGGTTGGGATGTGTTGAAAAGGGAAAAAAAAGGGAAAAGAGGAGGCGAGAGAGGAGGGGAGCCCGTCCGTCGTCAGCCACTGCTGCAAAAGCGCAAGGGAAACTTTTTTTGCTTCCCGCTGTTCCCTCGTAACCATTCACTCTCAACTGCTGTAACGGCAGGTAACGAACCGTACTGATTAGTTTTGACTCTCTATTTTGGGCTTCTGATTGGTTCAATTGGGTGCCGTTGGTTCCACCAGACCAAGATCGTGGGGCAGCTTCAGTGAATTCAATGTCGTGCGTTCCATTCTCAAAAAGGTACGTACCGTTCTCCCTCAATTTGGCACTTGTCGCGGCCCGGTTGGTCGGACCTTTGCACGCTAATAACGACGCCAATTCACCATCTGGCAGCTGCTCAGGCGGAATCAAATGGCAGCAGAGACGCTAAACCAGGCTAGAGCGCATCAGGAATCAGGCAAGTGCATCAAGTGGAACAAGCTAAAATTTCACGGAAGGTACGTGACAAGCAAGCAGACCCCACGCTGTCATCTCCTCTTTCCGACCTCACCTCTTGTTTTCGTTGCAAATGGGTGATGGGGAGAATGCACGTGTTGAGTTGTACCGTCGAGAGTCTTATCTATGTATCGAACTTCCATGAATACGGAGACTTGTCACCGCTCTTTTGGGTTGGCTGCCAGGTTGCAAAGTCTCGGGACGGGAAGAACAACTGGGTGGTAGGGACGGGATGGCAGGAGGGCAAGAGCACATATCAGCCTCTCTCAAATGCGATTTTACTCTTTGGATATCTGACACCAGACGGGAGTTGTGACACTCGACACATTTCTTCAAAAAAAAGGGGACCGTCGCTTCCCGAGACAACAAACGATATTATTGTCGCCGCAGCCGACCAGCGCTATTCTCAACAGGGGAGCCGAGGGGGAATTTGAGGCTCCGCGATCCGCGAATTGCGACACACCCTCGAACTCAAAAAGTCAAGGTTCCCCGCATCCAAGATGTTCTCCTTCGCTACCATCATCACTGCGTTGCTACGTGCTCAAATTGCGGTGCAAGCGATGGCAGACCTGCACAGCTTGTTATTCTCGAATGAATCGAATGACGACCCGAGTGAATCATGTCGTCGTCGCATGGTGTTTCTGTAGCATTAGGCACATGGTGAATGACAATCATGGCTGAACATGAGAGTTGAAAAGGTTGTTGCTGCCCCTCATTCTCCGTTTGCAAAAAGGTTGCCTGCTTCTTACATCTTCTGTCGGCTGCCAGCTGGCGTGGTACTTGTACAGCTCGAAGAAGGACATCGGAGTACTCCGTGACATCGAGGCAAAAAATGAAGTTTCAACCTTGAAAAGCTTTCCCTTCTTTGCTTCTGTTGATGTTCCGCCTTCCAGATATCACAAGCGGCGGGCCTATCATTTGGCCATGTTGTTCAATACCTGTTATGTTTTGCAGTCCTTCACCGAAGGAGTCATCGAGACTTGTCCTTCCCACGATCGTCTGTTTCAGCCAATACCATGGCCTCCCGTAGTTACTCAAACGTGGAAGGGGGACACAAAATCTCACCCTCCTGAACGGTGATTGGTGATGCCAATTTTCATTTTCATAATTATTCATGGAGATGGCCTCTCGTCTTTACCATGGCGGACGTCGGCATCTCGACGACGCTCGAGGCCTTGATATCAAACAGACCGAGGCTGGCTCCATTTGTTGAAAGCTTGCGTTTCCTCGTCGTCATGACTCGAAATCCGCTGGGTATTTTTCGGCCCCGGCTTGTACAGCGCTACGGCAAACAGAGGCAGGCGTCGTACGGCAGGAGCCCAGGGAGACTTGAAGTGCATGCATGAGACGCCAGCGCAGATTTTCTGGTCCACTGCATTTGAGGGTCCAGATGGCAGACGGAGGCCCGGCCGTTCCATGAAGAACCCCACGAGTTTGATATCGCCTTTGACTTCCTTCAAAGGTATCTGGCAGAGTCAGAATCTTAAAAATCCCATGGCCTTGGGTCTGGAACGGCATCACACACTTGGGTCACAACCATGGTGCTCTGCTCCGGATGCATGAAAAGACCTCCGACCTGTCTTTTTCTCTCAAAAAGCTGCACGAACCTTGACGGCCCGGCATTCAAGATGGGACTCGTGATCGGGGATGATGCCATGCGCAAACCGACCAGCACTTCCCTTCGCACTGCCTACATAGGCAGACTTTGGAAATTGGGAATGTCATCATCCTGTGTCGCAAGCTCTTTTGATAACTGAACGATTCAACGTTGTTCGCTGACCTTGCTGGTACTCGTCAGGGCGCCTCCCTTCGCTTCTGATATCGTCTCTCTGCTGCACGTCTGACTGCAGGCTTTTTGCGCCAGACCTACACTACCTAGGGACCCAGTTTGTGCCATGGTTGAGTCTCCACCGTGACGTTGACCCTGTTCGTTGCCCGCAGTGATCGATCCTGGTGATACCAGTCGATTGGACCGTTTTGAGGAGTGGATTTGATATTCTGCAATGGAGCGGATCCATCCATCATCGCCTTTCGTCGTTTGTGCTTTTGTTGTTATGGCCAGAACTCTGTTCTCAGTCACGGTGTTCTTGTTCTCCTTCCGGTTCCGGTTGGCGCTGGTTCATGAGAAAGATGGAAAAGAAGATCGGTCAATGCAAGCGAGAGGAGACGATGTGGTCTGTGCGCTCAATGGTGGGTTTCTTACCCCACATTCATGACCCCGTACGTAACAAAATGACTTGCAGGTTGCAACCGGCAGGCAAACAACCCAGCCTAACCATTCTTATCTTATCGTGGTTGCTACGGAACTCGGTTACTACTTGTGTGCCTTGCTTCTTCCAATTCCCCCCGTAAACACTTTTCCCAAACCTAGCTGGTTGGTCCGACAATTTGCTTTGCCGTGTCCAGGATGATGACTTGCAGTTGACTTTGCCAATCTGTGGACTACGCCCTTGTCAATCAGCGAATATCAGTCACGACAAGCCACCAGAACGCGACAAACAATCGCGACCACGTGTACCATCTTGAAGTACAGTACTACGGACCGTGAAAGTCAACAACCCCTCCACCACGCATCCGTTGTCTTCGAATGCGGCGCAACATCCCTTTCCCTTACACAACCTAAACCCGCACATTCCAACGCGGACAGCATGGACACCCAACAAACGTCACACAGCCTGTTCGAGGTGTACCTTCGACTGCGCCCAGCCAACACTGTAGCGACCTCTGGCGATCGATTCCTAGATGTTGATCCCCCAGGACCAGGCGAGAGTGCACCCAAGCATATCACATTAAACCCGCCAGCCGATAGACGTCGAGCAAGCGAAAAGTTCGCTTTCACCCAGGTCTTTGAAGAAGATGCCACACAGCTTGATGTCTTTCACTGTACTGGGGTTGCCAGCCTTGTCGAGGGTGTCCTTGCTCCCTATGGCGATGGAACGGATGCTTTGTTGGCGACGCTGGGAGTGACGGGGTCTGGAAAGGTTTGTCCACCACACCGAGCCGACAGATGACGACATATGCTGACAATAGAACACCCGCAGACACACACCATGCTTGGAACACGAACCCAGCGTGGCTTAACCCAAATGTCTCTCGACCTCATCTACCGTTCCCTCGGCCACCGCGTCCTTGATCCCTCTATATACCCAAACCTCGAACAGTCCCTCAGCGCATCCGATCCGTCAGAAGCCACCATACTCCCGGCCACTGCCTACCTCGAGTCGGTCTATAGCACAGATCCGACAACATCCTTCCTGCGTGGAAGTGGCAATGGCCGATCAACACCTTTACAAGTACGACCTTTCGCTTCTGTCTCTTCTCGATTTCCAACAGACAAGCCCATTTGTCGGACCTCTTCTACTTCTTCTATCGCGCACCAGTTTGGTGCAAGAACACCTGCTGGACCTTTTCAACAAGCCCAGCGGTCGGCCAGTATCCGATTAATCGTTCCCGAGGAACCAGAACAAGAACAAGACGAGTCAACGGTGTTCTTCACGCCTCCTAGTCGGGCTGGAACCGTAACTCCCACGCAGACAACCACAAGCAGGCTTCCGTGCCCAAGTCCGAGTGGATTTGGTCACAAGCCCGGCGACTCCCCATCTCCTCAACGAGGTAGTCGACTTCCAGCCTACCAACCCCAGCGGGTTGGCGCTTCTCCTACTAAGCAGCAGCACCTTCGCCCTGCTGTCTCTTCTGCAACTCTTCCTCATTTCACAGCTACCTCTTCCTTACGTTTCGCAACCAGACCTTCTAACCTTCAACAGAACGATTCGTCTACTCCACGCCGCTTTCGCCCTTCCGCCCTTCCACAAAACCCGGATATCACCCATCTAAACGTCCCATGCGACAACTCGGCCGAGTACGCCATCGTCATATCCATGTACGAAGTCTATAACGACCGCATCTTTGATCTCCTCTCTCCACCTGTGAAATCTGCCGCCACCAAAGAATACCGCCGTCGACCGTTGCCGTTCAAACCTACCGAACTTTCGCCGGACCGAAAAGTGGTGGCCGGACTACGAAAGGTGGCTTGCGGCAGCCTCGACCAGGCGTTGATGGTCTTGGAAGCGGGTTTGCAAGAGAGAAGGGTGGCGGGGACGGAGAGTAATACGCAGAGTTCACGGAGTCACGGGTTCTTCGTGGTGGAAGTGAAAAAGAGGTTTTCGCTTGGTGGGCAGCACACTGGATGGTATGGAGGCGCAGGATGGGCGGGTAATTCGTTGACGATCGTAGATCTTGCGGGCAGCGAGAGGGCCAGAGACGCAAAGACAGTCGGACACACGTTGGCGGAGGCGGGCAAGATCAACGAGAGCTTGATGTATCTGGGGCAGTGCTTGCAGATGCAGGTGGCAGGTGGGAAAGAAAAGGTATGCCCTCGTCCAAAGAGCTTGATGAAAGGAGATACTAACAACACACAGGCAAATCTAGGTCTAATCCGCCGGTGCAAATTGACCGAGTTGCTCTTCACCAACTCGTTTCCCAACGCCAACAACCAACAACAGCATCGAAACCCCCAGAAAGGGATAATGATAGTCACCGCCGACCCTCACGGTGACTTTAACGCCACTTCGCAAATCCTTCGCTACTCTGCTCTAGCGAAAGAGGTTACGGTTCCTCGTCAGCCGCCCACATTCCCGCCCTCCAACTCCTTTTCCAGCTCTTTGCCACCCATCGGCAGCCCTAATCACCAGTATCTCTCCTTCCAACAAACTCTCGAATCCGCCGCCCTTGAGATCTCTCGTTTACAAGAAGACCTCACCTACCTTCGGCACGCCCTCGACTCTGAACGCAGCCTACGGGAACAAGCAGAAGCGCATCTGTTGAGCATGGAAGACAAGATGGTCGAACTGGAGCAGGCGATCCGTGAAGATTGCGCAGAGGAGTTCGAAAAGAGGTTAGAATTGGAGGTGAACAGATGGAAGACAATTGTCGACGGGGAAAGAGAAAGGGGCGAAGAGTTTTGGAGGGGGAAATGGGGGGTCTTTGAGCGGATGGTGGAGGCTGATGGAGATGTCGACATGGATATGGACGTTGACAGCCCCAGGAAAGAGCATGGGGACACAACGCTGGTGGAAACGAGGACAACGGAGAGCAGGGAGGTTCGACGGCAGATGGAAACCCTCAGCGAAGAAAACGAGCGGCTACAAATGGAGAACGAAGCGCTAAAACAGGCTTTGGCGGCTTGTAGCAATCCCGCCAAGCCTACAACTAACAAGAACAAGTCGCCCAGTCGGAGGTCACCAAGTCGCAGTCGGAGAAAGAAGGCTCAGCTCAACTATGCGGATGATGACGATGATTTCTTCCAGGAGTTGAAGAGGGATCAGAACAGGGACAAGGAAGAGGATATGGCCATGGATCATGGGTTTGGCGAGGCAATGGGGGGCGGAGGAGGTGGTGTGAATGGGATGACAGCAGGAAGCCCGACCAAGAAGAAGAGGATCAGAAGGCTAGGAGCAAAGAAATGGGGACAGGGCTTGGATGATGATGATCCTTTCTAGTAGCATCAGCTGAGTAGGGGTCATGGTGTCATTGTACGATTGATTAGCGTACAATCGGTTCAGAAAGCGCGTCGGATTAGGCGTGAAGGAAAGGGGGAAAGGGCACTCTATGGGTTATGTGATGTATGTACATACCGTCTTCTTCTTCTTTGTTTGAGTCTTTCAACATAACAACCAGAATATCCATTGTCGGAGCTCATTATCAGTGTTATCAATCAACGAAATTTGCTTTGCTTGCTGATGAGCAGGTCACTCATGTCCTTGCCTGGCGTTTCTGGCATTGCCTACGCTCTTCAGTCTCTCTGTTTCACCTCAACTGGTACCAGGCCCACGATGTGGTATAAACACACGAGCACCCGAACGCCCCTTAGGCTAGTCTGATTCCTTTTGATCCCGCATAGTTGCCCAACAACATGTCAGGAACATACGAATGTCCCCCCTCTGGGTAAGGGAGCCCGTCACTGCGGCTACTGTCGTCACTCCTGCACGCATTGTAAAGACCTGTTTTGGTATGAGAGACAAGAATTCGTTACTCGTCAGTATCTACGTGCGAACCGTAAGAAAGTAGTCGATCTACACACTCTCGTCTGTCGTCATTGTCAAAACAACCGGCCTTTGCAACTACGAGCTCCTTCGCACGACAACATGGAGACAAACACCACACCCAAGCCGCAACACCAGAACAATACCGTTACTCCCACAGGCAAGAAACAAGACACCAAGTCAACAGCTTCCCC